GAGATCCACCGGAGAGGGAAATGGCAACCCACTCCAGCACCCTTGCCATGGAAACCCCGTGGACAGCCCCACAGGGCAAGAGGATATGTCACCGGAAAATGAGCCCCCAGTCGGAGGGTGTCCAATGTGCTTCTGGGGAAGAGCGGAGGGCTAGTGCTCGTAGCACCAGAAAGAGTGGAGCCCGAAGGACACTCAGTTGCAGTTCTATCTGGTGGCGAAAGGAGAGTCGGAGGCCGGAAAGATCGATACTCCACAGGAACCGGGAATGTAAGATCCATGAATCAAGGCAAGCTGGATGTGGTCGAACAAGAGCTGACAAGACTGAACATCGACACCTTAGGAATCAGCGAACTAAAATGGACAGGAAGGCGTGAATTTGATTCAGATGACCATCAGGTATAGTACTGTGGGCAGGAATCCCTCAGAAGAAGTGGAGCAGCCTTCATAGTCAATAAAAGAGTAGGAAAAGCAGTAGTGGGATACAGTCTCCAAAATGACAGAATGATCTCAGTTCGAATCCGAGGCAAACCATCAAACATCACAGTAGTCCAAGTCTCTGCCCCAACCACTGGTGCTGAAGGGGCTGAAGTTGACCGGTTCTAGGAAGGCCTACAACACCTTCCAGAATTAACACCCAAAAATGATGTCCTTCTCATCATGGGGGATTGGAATGCTAAAGCAGGAAGCCCAAAGATAACTGGAGTAACAGGCAAGTTTGGCCTTGGAGGACAAAAAGAAGCAGGGCACAGGCTGGCAGAATTTTGTCAAGAGAATATGATGGTCACAGCAAACACTCTTTTCCAACAACCCAAGAGACGACTCTACACATGGACATCACCAGACAGTCAGCACAGAAATCAGATTGACTATGTACTCTGCAGCCAAAGATGGAGAAGCTCTATACAGACGGTAAAAACTAGACCAGGAGCTGCCTGTGGCTCAGATCATGAGCTTCTGGTTGCAAACATAGAAGCATAGAAACATAGAAACAGAACGAGTCAGAAGGGGTCTCCGGGGTCATCTAGTCTGACCTCCGGCACCAGCCGGCTCCGCTCATGACATGCCCACCATGTCCATGTCCAACCTATCCTTGAACACCATCACCAATGGGGCTTCAACCACCTCCTGTGGAAGCACATTCCACGCCCTCAGGGTCCTGACTGTCAGGAAGTGCTTCCTGGCATCCAAATGGAACCTTGGCTCCCTGAGCTTTGCTCCATTGGAGCACGTCCTGCCTTCCTCTGCAGGGGAGAACAGGTCTCTCCCCACCTCCGTGTGACACCCCCTCACATACCTGCATGTCGCCAACAGATCCCCTCTGAGTCTCCTGTTCTCCAGGCTGAAGAGGCCCAGTTCCCTCAGTCTCGCCTCATATGGCATCCCCTGCAAACTGGCCACCAACCTTGTGGCCCTACGCTGCACTGACTCCAACCAGGCTAAATCCTTCCTGTAATGAGGGGCCCAAAACTGAACACAATACTCCAGTTGCGGGCACACCAGAGTTGCATAGAGTGGCAATAACACCTCTCTAGATCCAGAAGCCACACTTCTGGCTGTGCACCCAAGGGTGGCGTTGGCCCTCTTGACCACCGCATCTCACTGCTGACTCATGTTCAGCCTGCAGTCAACCAGCACCCTGAGGTCCCTTTCACAAGTGCTGCTCTCCAGCCTCGTCCCCTAACCTGTACTTATGACAGCTATTCCTATGCTCCAAGTGCAAGACCTTGCACTTATCCACATGGAACGCCATCCTGTTGTCTCCTGCCCACTTCCATAGCCTGTCCAGATCCTTCTGGATCTGAAGTAGCTGCTCCGCAGTTGTGGACCTGTGCAGGGAGAGAGACAGGGGGAGTGCGTCCCTGTTGGTCCTCCTGCACCTCTCAGCGGCTTTCGATACCATCGACCATAGAAACATAGAAAACAGAGCGAGTCAGAAGGGGCCTCCCGGACATTACAAAGGCGCCAGGCCCTGACGGTTACACCCGAGAGTACGTAGAGAGTTGGCAGGGGTTCTCTCACGCCCACTGGCCTCCGTTTTTGAGGCCTCGCGGAGAACAGGTGAAGTTCCAGAGGACTGGAGGGTGGCATCAGTGGTCCCAATTTTCAAAAAGGATAGTAGAAAGGATATGGGGAATTACAGACCGATTAGCCTTACACCCATTGCAGGAAACACAATGGAAAGACTCATAAGAGCGAGAGATCTAGTGATGCTAGATAGGGAAGGGAGGCTGGCAGCCACACAACACGGCTTCCGCAAAAACAGGTCCTGCCAGACAAACCTTGTTGAATTCTATGACAAGGTTTCGAGATGGCTGGATGGAGGGGATGCAGTGGATGCAGTTCACCTGGATTTCAGCAAGGCCTTTGACAAAGTGCCCCATGATATCCTGGTGGAGAAACTGAGGAGTTTTGGGATACACCAAAGCACTGTCCGGTGGATTAGGGCATGGTTGACTGACTGAAAGCAGAAGGTAACCATTAACGGGGAATCATCGGGATGGCGGCCAGTGACAAGCGGGGTCCCCCAGGGCCCTCTCCTGGGGCCGATCCTGTTAATCTCTTGATTAATGACATAGAAGAAGGGGTGAACAGTCTCCTGATCAAATTTGCAGACACTAAAACTGGAGCAGTGGCCACAACTGAGGAGCAGGTACTCCAGATCCAGAAGGATCTGAACAGACTGTGGAAGTGGGCAGGAGACAACAGGATGGTGTTCAGTGTGGATAAGTGCAAGGTCTTGCACTTGGGGCATAGGAATGGGTGTCATAAGTACAGGTTGGGTGAAAAATGGCTGGAGAGCAGCGCTTGTGAAAGGGACCTCGGGGTGCTGGTCGACTGCAGGCTGAACGTGATCAGCAGTGTGATGCGGTGGTCAAGAGGGCAAACGCCACCCTTGGCTGCATAGCCAGAAGTGTGGCTTCTAGACCAAGAGAGGTATATTACTGCCACTCTACACGACTCTAGTGCGCCCGCAACTGGAGCATTGTGTTCAGTTTTGGGCCCCTCATTACAGGAAGGATATAGCCAGGTTGGAGTCAGTGCAGCGCAGGGCCACAGGGTTGGTGGCCGGTTTGCAGGGGATGCCTTACGAGGCGAGACTGAGGGAACCGGGTCTCTTCAGCCTGGAGAAGAGGAGACTCAGAGGGGATCTGTTGGCGACATGCAGGTATGTGAGGGGGTGTCACACGGAGGTGGGGAGAGACCTGTTCTCCCCTGCAGCGGAAGGAAGGATACGCCCCAATGGAGCAAAGCTCAGGGAGCCAAAGTTTCATTTGGATGCCAGGAAGCACTTCCTGACAGTCAGAACCCAGAGGGTGTGGAATGGGCTCCCACGGGAGGTCGCTGAGGCCCCATTGGTGCATGTGTTCAAGGAGAGGCTGGACCCAAGACTGAAGCCTGCGGGACCCCCCTGGCTCCCCCCTCTGGTCTGAGAAGGTGCCACTGATGAGCGCTCTTCGTGTCCGATTCAGCAGCCCATTTTGGATCCACCGAATAGTTTCTCCATCTGGTCCACTTTTTGCCGATTTGCTTGTCGGAATGTCATGTGGCGCCACGTCGAAAGCTGTGCTAAAGTCTGGGTAGATTCTGTCCACGGTGTTCCCTTTGTCCATCTGGGAGGTTACCCAGTCAAAAATGAGATTAAATTAGTCTGACAGGATCTATTTTTGATAAATCCATGCTGGCTTCTATGAATCTCTGCATTTTCTTCAAGATGCTTGCCGAAGGACATTTAAATAATTTGCTCCAGACTTTTTCCAGGGATTGATCCCAGATTAACTGGTCTATAGTTCCCAGGCTGATCTTTTTTCCCCTTTTTGAAGGCAGGGACACCAGCCCTTCTCCAGTCGTCTGGCACGTCTCCTGTTTTCTGTTATTACTCTGCCGCCCCCTTTAAGCAGCTGGACGCACTGCTCTTTCTCGCGTCTCCTGTTCCGGGTGTTTCCGAGGGAGACTCCCCTGCTGTGCTCGGCATCCCTGCTGGCCTCCTTCCTTGCCCGCTTTGGCCGTCCCGATGCCACTCCAGCGACTCCTCGCTGCCTGTTTGTGCGCTTCCTTCCTGGCCTGGCCCTGCTTCCGCCTCCTGCACACGCTCTTTTTTCCTTCCAGGCGGCCACTTAACATTCTGCGGAGCCACCTGGGCTCCCTCTGCTCTTTACTACACTTTTTTTGATACTGAACAAGGAGATTTAACCCTCCAGTCTCTCCTAGAATAGGAGACTAGAAGCGTAATGTGGAAGGAACTAAAGCAAAAATGACAATCCCAGAACATACGCAGACATGGTTGGTCAACAAGGGCAGAGAAAGTCATGCCAAGAATTGCAAGAAGAAGGGGAAAGCAGAGAGCGGCTTTCTCCTCAGCGAGCCTCAGGATTAAAGGAGGAGATCCAAGCTGGAAAAGGTCCAGGAGGAAATTTGATGGACTTTGGGATTATAGTCAAACGGACCGTCAGGCAGACCATCTCCTGGACTGTCTTCATAAACAGCTGCTTAAATGTGAGACCGAGACTCAGGAAGACCAAATATGCACGGGGGGCTGGAGGCAGAATCTCCGCGAGGCACGGCCAGCCGCAGCGGGACCCTTGGTGGACGAAGGGCGCGGAATTTCCCGCATGGCAGGCACCAAGAGCAAATTGGCCTGCGATGCACTTCGGGCGGTGTAGCCCCCAGAACGATACACAGAAAACGGACAGGAAGCGCAATGGGAAACATTGAGAAGACAAAGAGGGAGGTGGGGCATCTCACCGCATGTGGGCCGGGGGGGGGGCAGGGGGCAGAATCCCACCATGCGGAAAGCAGAACCCGCCGAGATGCGGGACACACGCAGCCCTGGCTCGCCACTGAGGGCCGGGAACGTGCTCCTCCGCGTTGTCCCAGCGTCTGCCAAGGAGGGCGGCAGAGCGCGGCGAATCCGTGACGGCGGTGGCGGGCGCCTCGAGCGGGGAGCTGCAGGCCGCCTGGCCACCGGAGACGGAAGCCCAAGCCGCTGAGGGCGCAGCCACGGCGGAGCGAGCGCGGCGAGTGGGCCGGAGGCCGGCGGGAGAACCGTGCAGGGGTGGACGGCCTACAGGGCACGATTCACAGGACGGCGGAAGAAATGCAACTCCTGCCCGGGCCTGAGACCTCGACCCGTTACCAGCACCCTTACGATCCGCCACTCACTGCTCAGGCGGAGGCAGGGAAGACGGAGAAGTGACCGGGCTGGAGGGGAGAGAGGTCGGTGCAGACCTCCGATCCCTGCAAAGGGGCTGGAACGAGGAGCTGCTCCTTGACTCTCTGGGGCAGCCCTTGGCCGCTTTCCCCCCGCTTGCCCCTTCTCTATCTGCTGCACATGTTGAAAATAAGCAAGAAGAGGGGAAAGGGCCAGCTCTCCATACTCACGCTCTCCGCTGTCGGTCTCACCCAGCGCCCGCCGATTGGGACCTTGCGGAGTCGGCGCTTGCAAAGACATCGGCCCGTCTTTGATCCAGGGCTCGACCGGCCGCCTCACAGAACTGCTCGCTTCGTTCTCTTCCCGGAGAACTGCATTTCTCAGGGACAAACGTTTCCTTTCTAACATGTCCAGTGAGTCAAAGAAGGTCTTCATGCTCGAGGTACCAATTTTCCAGAATATTTCAGCAAAATTGAGGCTGTCCCGGCTCTTGCTGGCAAGCAGTGCTGAAGTGTTGAATGAAAAGTGAACGGGGCCCCCGCTGGCATCCCTGGCACACGCCACGTTGGCCTCCTCGACGGCCTGCAGCACCGGGGGCGGCTGCCCATCCGCACACGTGACCAGGACGAGGGTATTGTCCCTCATGTCTGCCCGGAACATGGAGGGCACGGAGTCGAACACGGCTTTCTGCGTAGGCGACAAGCGGGCCAGTGAGGCCGGAACCACGAGTCCAAGGGCGTCAACGTGGCTGATGCCGCCTGGCGGGGAGAGAAACCTCCTGACCTTCCGGGCCACCACGTTCTCCGCACCTGCCGTGTCCCCAAACTCCGGCATGTCGATGACGGTGAGGGAAAAGGGGACCTGGAAGCCCCCCTGGTGGTTCAGCACGTAGGCCGTCACTTCCGAGGTCCGGCTCTCGGCTTGGCTTCTGCGGGTCTCTTCGTGGATCAGCCTGAACCGGAAGTCGTCTCCCCACTGCACGCCCAGGATGTAGTTGACCATGCCGTCGATGAGGGCGGTCTTCCCTGACCCCGTGGCCCCCATCATCATGATCACCTTGCTGGGGACCTGCAAGTTCATTTCACCCAGCTGGTACGTCACACAGGACCTGGTGGCACCGGCCGTGGCCTTCTGCAGAGGAAGGGCGTACACGGAGGGCGGCCCCTTCTCCAGCAGGGTGCTCTTCGGGAGGAAAGCGCGGGCCAGTCTGGACTCCCTTTCTTCTTCCGGGGATGTGAGCACCTCCACCTCTTCGCTGGGAGCACTCTGAGCCCCGTCGGCACACACGGCCGACACCCGGACCCTGTAGCGTGTCTGCGGCTTCAGCTGGCCGATCGCACAGACTTCCGTCTTCCCTGCCGTCCTCTTCTCCTTCCACCCCCCTTTGGCCTCGCGACTCTTCTCCCCAGCCCCCTCCCTGTACTCCACTTTGTACTCCTGTATAACGGCCCCCACGCCGACGGCGCTGGGACTCTCCCAGGCCACGGAGATGAGGGACGGCTCTGCGGTGACCTCTCTGGGCTTCCCGGGAGGGCTGGTGGGAAGCGTCCTCACCGGTGCACTCGGGTCGCTGCTCGCGCTGAGGCCCGGCTTGCTCCTGGCGGCGTATCGGAGCTGGTACTCCGTGTTCGGGCTCAGGCCTTCCAGGAGGAACGTCTCCCGTCCGTCCTCTGTGCTCGCAGCCCCCCAGCCTTCTTCCCCCGTGACTTTGTACTCTACCCGGTAGCCGGAGATGGAAGCCCTCCCGTACGCGGCCGGCTGGAAGGTCAGCTGCACGCTCTCGTGCCCGACCACCCTGAGGAGGGGAGGGCGAGGCTTGGGGGGCAGCTCAAGGCAGCGGCTGATGAGCTCCCCCTCTTCATACAGGTAGATGGAAGCTCCGGGGTGCTCCCCGTCAGGGACGGAGGCCACGACAAAGCGGGTCGTCCCACTGGCGCTGTTCACACGGGCAAAGTCTGCCACGGATCTGGCAGCTTTCCGAGCCTTTTGCACTTTCTCTTGGTGCTCAAACCAGGCCTTGCCCGCCCCTGGGGCAGTCGCGCCGGCTCCTGGATCGTCCCCCGGCTGCGGAAACGCCCTTTGTAGCCAGCGCTGCAGTTGGAACAGAAACAGCTCCTCGTCATGCAGGGAAGTGAAGGTAAAGGAGACGACAAACTCGTTCCGGGGGTCCAGCACTACTTCTTCCAGCTTGTTCCAGGAGGAGATGACCTCCACCCCGCTGAGGATCGCGAGGTATGACTTCACAAAACTGATCTCTCGCTCCTTGGCATCCAGAAACTCCCCGAGTCGTTGGCTGTTGAAAGGTGAGTGGCCAATGGAGGCCAGGATGTCTGCCAGGGCCCCTTCCTCTTTCCCGCCTCCTCGGATGGAAGGCAAGACGCTTGCCAGCTGCTTCTGGAAGGTCTGCCGGTGCTGCTTGCACAGATCCTCAAACTGCTCAATTTTCCTCTTGACTTCTGGGAAGGCGTCGGTCACGGGGCTCCTTGCCAGGTCGTTGCATCTCATCTTGACCTCGTTCAGCTGCTCCATCAATGCTTGGGCATCAAAGATCAGGGAGAGGCTGATGTCGCGCACCAACTTGGCCGCTCTGGAGTCCAGCTTGGTCAGCGGGTACAGCCAGACCCGCACGGGCACAGCCCTCTTCCCATCATCCCCTAACATTTTGGGCAGGCGGGCATACACTCGAATGGCGTCCTCGAAACTCACTGGATTTTTGTCCAGAGAAAAATCTCCATGGAACTTGCACTTGAAGTTCTCAGTATAGGATTTTTCCTTCTCATTCATCTCAATTTCTGCTTCCCCCGTGGTAGATACGAACTTTCCAATCATAACCTGGAGGCTTCCTTGTAGATCTTTTACAGTCTCAGAAGAAGAGGCTTCTCGATCGAACACGAAGAAGGCCTGGGCGCCGTACAGGACGGCGGTGACGACGTGGGTGGCCGTGCCGTGCTCAAAGACGGCCGGGTAGGAGACGTTCTGGATGCCCAGGTGGCTCATGGTCAGCTGCTCGTACCGGGTGGTCGCTTTGTACTGCAGGGTGACCCTGGCCTGCTGCCGGGACGTCTTGGAGTCATGCAGGTACTTGGCGGACCCCCCCACCTCGACCAGGCCCCCCAGGAAGCTGGCCTTGAGCGACGTGGAGACGCCGAGGGCGGAGGCCTTGTCGTCGATGGAGTCCGAGGCGATGACCTCCGACTCGGTCTTGGGCTGCGGCCGGATGCTCAGGTCCTTCTGCAGTGCCTGCAGGTCCCAAAGGGTGATCCCTGGAAGCAGCAGAGGAGGAGGCACACGAATTCGGGCGCTGTGTGGTCAGAGGAGCTGCCCCTGCCCAGTTCACGCCTGGCAGTACAGCCCTTCCCTGAGGGTCCCGCGGAAACATGGGGGCCCCTGGGGGCCCCCCTCGAGCTGGACCCCCCCAGGGCAGGGCAGGGCAGGTGAGGGAGGGCTCTCCCCCCTCCCCCTCCACCGGTGCATCCCTGGAAGGGGAAGCAGCCTTGTCTTCCAGCGGCCCGCCCCCCGGCCTGTGCCTCAGCATTGCCGGTGGCAGCGGGGCCCCCGGAGGGCTGAGGCGCCGAGAGACGCGCTGCCAGGGGTCCTGCCCGCTGCGAGCCCACCCCGGGGGCCCGGCCCCTACCTGGGATGAGGGCGTCGCTGCGGCAGTCGTACAGCATCCCCAGCTGGAAGGGGCGGCCCAGCGCCGGCAGCTCCACGAGGTCGCCCTGGGCCATGCCTCTTCCGCAGGCGGCGCTCCCCCGTCCGTCCGTCGCAGCGCAGGAACCGGCGGGGCGCAAGGGCGGAGGGGGCTGCGCGGCTCGGGATGGGGGGGCCGCGCTGCCCCAGGGGCGACGCTCGCACGCCGAGAAGCAGAACCGCGCGACCTGCGGCAGGACAAAGACTCCAAAGCACGGGGCGCCCGCCGGCGCCGCAGGGACCCCTCGCCCAGCGCCTCCGAGTGCCCGACCGCGCATCGGCGGCTCGAGCAAGTCCTGCCGCCTCTCGCCTGCGCCCGGATTCCCCGCTGGAGGAAGAGGACTTAGCCTTCGCACTGCAGCGAGGCGAGGTGAGGCTGGGCAGGGCAGGGCGCGCCGGCGCAGGACGAGAGCTGAAGGCCAGACCCCCACTTCGGAAAGGACCCCCCTCAGGGAACCGTCATAGAATGGGAGAGCAGGAGTGGCCACTGAGGGCCCCCGCCCAAGGCCCTGCCCCTGCTGTTTAGCGCCACCCTCCGCTTCTCCTGAATGCCCCCAGTTTGGGAGAGCCCCCCCCGCCACGCCTTGCAGGCGGCTGGTCCCAGTGTCTCATTGCTCTGGCAGTGAGGAAGCTCTTCCTGATGTTGTCGGGAAAATGTGGATAAATCCTGTCTGGAAAGCATTACTCCTGTGTGCCTTTGCATTGTGGGATCAAATCCTGTCTTCTTTCTCAAAACCGAGCTGTCACTGTTTAAAATGGCATCCCCCCCCCCTTCTCTCGCCTTTAGCTGTGGGCTACAGTAGACAAATATACATTGTAAAGAGTCATTGTTGGAATTCAGTTTACAGTATCTTAACCCAGAGGGCAGCATATGCCCTGATCATGCAGAATGTTTAGAGGCAAGATGGGGGTCTGAGATGGGGGTCTGAGCTTATCATGAACAGTTCCTAGTAGCCTGAATTTGCATGTCTGAGCAGAACTGGAGATGGGTTCAAGTTACTCAACTAAATCAGAAATATTGTAATCTCATTGTTACAGTGTGATTTACTGGCATTCCTTTATCTGCTCTGTATGTGAAGACCTCAGGATCTCATTGCAATCTCTGCATCCTGTCACCGATTGCCCTGCACCTGTGTACCTATAAATGCCCTGCGATGGCGTTGAAGCTTTGCAGCAGAGTCCACCTCTGCCTGCCCGGGAATGCACGCATTATCCTGAGTACCGCGGGAACCTTGGGGTAATACAGTAAAGCCAAGATGGTCGGGACGCTTGGTCTTTCCCACGAACCCGAGTTTTATTCCCTCTTCTCAAATTGAGCTTCCGGGATTGCACTGGGGCATCAGCAAGAGGAGATCTGGACCCTCCTCTTTGTGGCAGCCTTCCAGGTACCTATAGAGGGGTGTCATCCCCCCCCCCCCCGAGTCATCTCAAGGCTGAACAGTGTTTCCAAACCCAGGGGAAGCTGGTGCATCGGGCGTGCCAGCCGGGGGAGGGGGGGAGAATCCTCTTTGGACTGTGGCCCCTCCCACGGCTGGCATGTGGACCCCAGCGCAGTTGTCGGGGGCCAATGCGGACCCCATGCTGGGATTCCCACCGCCCCCTGAAAGCCAGGTTGTCCCGGAGACGTGAGTGTGGTGGGCGGAATTACCCAGCGCGGGGGGGGGGGTGTTCCGAGGCCCGCGCCTCCCCCTCCGTGTTCACCAGCACGCGGAGCAGCCGGATCTGCCGAGGGGTCGCCGAGCACCGGGGCCTGGAAGCGCCTGGGCCGGGCCAGCCACCTGGAGGGGACGCGGGGGGAGGGACGGCGGGACAGCCCAGGTCACCGCGGGAGCAAGCGCCCTGCACTGGGGGGCCGCGGGCGGGGGCGGGAGCTGGCCGGGAGGGCCCCGATCCGCCTCCCGAAGAGATGCCGAGCGGGGCCGCTGAACTGCTCGGCCAACGCAGCAGCCTCTCTTGCCCCCGCGCTGGAGGTGCCCCGCGGCGAGCAGGGCCCGTCGCTCCCCTGGGCTGAGGGTCTCCCGCGCGAGGAGGGGCCCCGATCCCTGCTGGGCCGGGGGGGCGCAGGAGCCCGGGCAGTCGGAGCGCGGTGGCCGTCGAGCCCCCCGAGGGGAGGGGAGGGGTGGCGGCAGGAGGGCCGGGCCGCTCGCCTCCCCCCTCCCCGAGAGCCGCGGACGATCGGGGGCTTGGCGGGGGGGGGCGCCTCCGCCAACCTGTAACTGCTGCTGCGCTGCTGGGGAGGCCGCGCCCCCGGGAGCAGCGGGGGGCCGTTCCCTGCTTTCCCCCACGGGTGGGCCCCCCAACAGGGGGCGAGCGCGCAGCGTGTGGCTGCTCCGTCCTTACCTGAGGAGCGCAATTCTGCGTGGTTGCGCCCAGAAACACTCCCAGCGCAGGGTTCTCCAGAGCATGCACCAGCCCCCTCTGTGCGCCGAGCGCGGCCCTCCGTCTCCCCCCACCGCGGAGCAGCTGCTCGGCACGCCCGGGCCGTCTCCGCCGAGGGGGCGGGGGGGGGGCGAGGCCTGGGGAGGAGCCGCGAAACCGAAAGGGAAGGCACGTGACTAGCTGGATCCGCGGCGCTGGGGAGGGTGTTCCTTCCTGGAGGGGCGGCGGGGGGCCCTGAATCGGGCCTTTTCCCCCCCCCCCCCCGGCTGACCTGCTGCTGCAGGGAAAAGCAGGCGCCGGCATCCTTGCTTCGGGACACCTCGACAGGACTCCCCACTCGCCCGGCCCCCTTCCCTCCGCCCCTCCTGGCTGCAGTGCTTTTCCCACGCCAAGTGGGGAGGACTGGGGGGCGGTTTTCAGACACTGTGCTTGCCCCCCAAGCTCCTTGATGTCCCGTACGGAGCACCGTGAGGCCGCGAGGCCCCCCCGAAGATCAGATGGGCTTTCCAAGCCCCGTGGCTGCCCGTTCCCTTGCGAGATGGGGGTCCGGGATGGGGGTCCGGCCGGGCGCTTGCGAGCCACAGAGCTGCGTCGCCCAGGTGCTCCCAGGACTCAGCGGCGCATTGGAGAGTCTGGAAGCAAGAGGCCGTTTCCCATCAGCTTTATTCCTGTGCGGGATGAACAGAGCGAGGAACGGAGAAAGAGCTCAGGTCTCAACAATCCGCAGCTCTTTCCCGCCCCTCTCCAACCACAGTTCCCAAAGGCCCCCAGTCGCCTTCCATTCGCCCGGCCGGACCACGTCTCATCTTGCACGTAAACCGGGGTTTTTCTACCTGCGGTTCTCTACCTGGGCAGCCCGGCTCCGGCTCAGCCATGACCTGAGGATCACCTCCGTGCTCAGATCCACTCAAAGCTGTTTCTACGGGCTGATTCGCCTCGCTGGGGTTCAGGCTCTGGCCCAGGTCAGGCTGACAGCCGGACCCCACCTCTAGCTCTGAGTCCCCCAAAGGCCGGAGATGCTGCTGCGGAGCATGGGGGGGGCTGAGGGAGCAGCGCAATATCCCCCCCCCCCCGAAGCCTCACTGGACATGGAAAGTAGGGCTGCCAGACTGGCTTCCGTGGCAGTTTGTGCAGATGAGGAAGGCACAGCATGAAAGGAAAGCGGAGCTGGAGGGAAGAGGGGAAATGCCGCCTGGCACTCGACCCAGTGCAGAGGCAGGACATGGCCTGCCTCGTTTGCCCAGGGGCAGAAGGGGAAGAGGCCTCCCGGCTGGGGGCACCCAGGCGCCTGAGGGTCCCCCGTGCCGCTCCCTCGGCCTCTG